ATGTTTGGAAGAAAAAAACAGGAGCAGCATTTGATAAAAAGAAAACATGTCAATCATTAAGCATGAGGGTGGATATATTATGCTTTGGGATTGTGTGGCACCAGTGGCACAGGGAACATTGCACAAGCAGATAAAAGACTAGAATCCACTAAATAGCAGTAAATTCTAGAAGTAAATCTGAAGCAGACAGTAGCTGACTTCTACAAAAGCACAATCAGCAAAACTCAAGAAGTGCAAGCTGAATAGCCCTCACAGTCCTTTGACTTTGAAAATCTGTAAGTAGAACTTAAACATGGCATGCACGCAAGAGGTCCCAAGAATGACATAGAAATACAAACATTCTGCAGGGAAAAGGTAAAAAATTCCTAAAATATGAATAGAAAAAACTGGCTACAACAAGATTTTGCAAGCTGTGATACCTGTCAGTGTTTTTTAAACAAATGCAAAATAACTGTGCATTGACAGAAAGTTTAGAACAATTTGTTGCAGAGATTTCAGAAAAAAAACAACATATAATTTGGCAATGTAATGTAATTTGGTGCCCAAACCTTTACATACAACAGTACATACTGACTTTGTCATTATTTGTTGGTATCTTTTATTTCTCATTTTAGAAATTACCTACAAAATATCTTTTATTTACCGTGGACAGATTATAAGCACATATCTGTCCAACCGATGGTACAATAACCATGTCTGCACAGAGTCTAAAATGACTGTTGATCTATTCTGTGATGCAGCATCAGCCAAGACCATATGACATGGTTGTTCTTTCAAAGCACCCGGGAAACCTGTAGGAAAAAAAAAGCTGATTTTTTGTCGGAGTTGACGGGAGAAGTGAGACGCGACTAGAATGAAAATGTGCTCCATGAAAATGCACCATATTAAAACCTGTGATTTTCCCTCGATGCAATTAAGAAGCAAATCAGCGGGGAGGATTAAAACATCCAAGGCTGACGTTCCAATCTTGACAGGCCTTCCCCAGCTACACTGCACATTTACAAAGTCCTGCAGAGCGCCGGGGAGAAAAATGCACGATGAATCAAACACACTATTTTAATAATGCGCTTTAAAAAAACATCTTGGCACACAAAATGGGTCATTTGTGCTATAAATATAACCCAAGTCATTGACAGAATTAGATTATGTAGAAACTTCCCTATGCCTTCTTCCTATCCTTGTATAGCTCAAGGAGCCATCAAGTCTGATTCATCCTCACTGAGACTGCAGTAGTGGGGATCAGCTACAGTACTGTGCACTGTAGTTGAAGACAGTCATATTGATTTCTCCAAGTTTCGCTCAGAGTCCTGAAGAAACACCTCCTGTAGGACCAAGGAGGAGCATAATCAGATCCCCCCTGTTGCCAGCTGGAACCATTAGCGAATTAGAGGCCCTGGAGCCGACAGTGCTATTACTCAATTTATCAGCTGGTGGACACAGTGCTGCTGTGAGTTCCGTCACTAAAAATACAGGATGATTAACATAGGAATCTCAGCTGAGGGAGCATACAGCACAACATTAGCAAGATTAGCATGGGGAGGACTAATCGTATTCAGAATTCCCGCTAACTAACACCAAGGTGTCTCTGCAAAGATATGGAGGGACAAAAATGGGACTGCTGCAAAGTGGGTGGAACACGTTCAACTAATGATTACACTCCTAACACCTGGGTATTGCTTTCTGCAGGTCACAATACTTGGCTCCCCTCAGTGGAAGGATATTGAGACCCTAAGCTAGCGGTGCAGTCATAGCTTCCAGAATTGTCCTCTCCCTACAGCCCTGTCACACGTTAACCTTGACAGTGTCACGCCAATCGTAAAGAGAATGTTATTTGTTGGCTGGGTCACATATGACTGTGCCACCCGTTCCCCCGATGCCTGTGAATAATGCATGTATATAGAGCAAGAGGGAGCACAGTTTAACAAAATATTCAATATACAATCTATACAGCAGGTTGGCAGGAGTGGAGGGTGGCACTGTCCCCTTCATTGCCATTGATTTTGTGTCACTTTGGCCAGTAGCGTTGAAACTGATCCCAAACAAAACAGACAACAAAAGAGGCTCAGGCTGTCTACACTCATTAGCCCAAGATTGCAATGCAGAGGGGGAGAACAGCAAGAGTGTGTGTGTGTGCTGTAAAAAAGCCGTACTCTAAGCATGTGAGCAAACCACTGGCTGTGCATTCACATGTAAAAGACTGATTGTTGTGAATAATAGTTTAATCAAGCCCTGCCTATTTGTTCATGCATGTTCAGTGAGGGATTGTGGTGAAGCACAGAGTGACAGAAGCTAATATAAGGGATTTGTCTGTGACAACTTCATCCATTAGCAAAGTCTCCTGCCTGCACTGTAGCAAAGCCGATTTGCAGCTGCGCGATGGTATCAGTGGGCATCGGGGAGCGGGCAGGACTTGGGGAGCGACAGCTTTGCTGATGTGGAAAGATACTCCTGAGGTGTAAGCACTCTACCGCTCTGAAGTGTAAAGGGATTATTCCCAAACTTGGTCATGGCTCTTACGGGCCTGCTCTTCCATTGGGTTCAGGATGCAAATATACCCTTTGCATGAAGTGGCTCTGGCTGAAGGTGAAGCTCAGTGCTGTTTGGTGGCCTAGAAAAGCTCAGTGGAGTCAGTGCACGCGAATCAGCACTCTTGCCTTTGGAGTGATCGAGATCGCCTTGTTAGCATGCACGATGAGCCGTCTGCGGTTTGATGTGCCCCCAGAAAAGATTCATTTCAAGGCCACACAATCGATGTGGAAGCGTCGGTAGTCATTTAGATACGTTTTCGACGACGTATTTTGCAGCTGAGTGAGACTCCTGAGGCGTTAATGGCAGTACCTTTGAATCCTGAGATGGCAAGGACATGGGAAAAAGGATGAAGTGGGGGGGTCGAAGGGTGTTATTACCTTGTTTCTCACAAGCATCTCTGAAAATATCAGCTGGTGGTATTGGTGGTGGTGGCGGTGGTGGGGGTGGGGATGGGGGCAAAATGTTGCAGAGAGCTCACGCTCTGTTATGCTTATTAATATCTGGAAACATATGATCCAATTTTCAGAGAAAAACAGAATGTCACCCAAATAATGTTAAGCACATCTAATCTCCTCTAAGACATGGTGGAACATGTTTTTTTTCCCTCCCCCGCCAACAAAGCAGGACTAACCTTAATGCCAGTGCTCCATGGCTGCCTTGTAGTTTGTGTTCGTTCCCTCATTTTCGGGATACGTTTCCACATAACCGCATTAAGGGAAAATAATAAATGCTGGGGTTTATTTGTGCTCGCCCAGGGAGGATGAAATTAAACTTACTTCGAAAGAAGCCAAGTGACAAAAGGCCAGGATTAGAAGGAAACCTTATCAAAGCCTTGATACAGTATTTCACATCAACCAAAAGAGACCCTTCTGATAGTCGGAGAAATGGGTCAGTTGAATGAATAAACAGCCCTGAATTTGAATTTGAGTCCCTCTCTTAAGTCACACGAAAATTTATTTAGGACAATAAAGTGAACAGTACCATGAAACAAGCTATACCAAGCCTCAGATTTGTCTGCTTAATCATTTTGTTTATTCTGTTTGCTTTTTTAAATCTTATCAATTATTTACAAGTACATAATGAGCCCATGTTTCAAGGGGAAGAAGGCACTTAAAGATGCAAGATCCTTGACGGAGTTGTTTGAGGTTTGAGCACATGTACATCTTCACAGGGCATTTTTGAACATGTTTCTTCTAAACTTACAAACATAAGAACTTAAGTAAAACTAGGATCTTCATAAAAGAGAAGTCGAGTCTATTACCACAGTCACCGCATTTCATGCAAGTATACTTCCAGCATTTTTCAGACTGTGAAACATCACCTGAAACAAGTTGATGTTATTAGGGCGGGGTGTGCTTGAAAGGTGGACAAGGAGAGAAAAGAGAAGTGGGCTCAGAGACTGGCTCTCTAATGTCACGCTGAATCAAATTCAGTTTGTCGTTTCTTCTCTCTGCTGACATGGTAGAAAATGAATCACAGCTCCCAAAGCACGGACCCTCTTTAAACAGCCTTTAGAATATTATGTGTGGAGCACTGAATAGAATGGCTCCCAATTCCTTCACTGCTTCTCTCCTCTAACCCTCTCTCATGCTCTCTTCCTCTCATCCACAATCTCCCTCTTATCCTGCTGGCAGACTGAATAGGGAGATTCCGATCGATGTACTTCTTTGACGAATTACTCCAATGGAGCTGCTGAGGTCTCAGATGAGACTTGCTGCATATACAGCATACACACCAACCTACAGAAGCAGCACATATTCCAGGCACATCCTCCTAACTGGAGGGAAAAACACAGACTCTCCAAACCTGCGGCCAATGCATGCACTTATCCAAGCTGTCTAAGCTGGCTGAGAGCAGTTTGTGTAGGACTAGACTTGAGGCGCATATACACACGCATCATGAGTGCATACCTTTGGAGTAGGAAGACATGACTGAAGTCAGGAGGTCACAGCATGAGGCTCAGTAGAAGATGGGATGTGAATCTTACAATAGCATGCCCTTTTGAATTTCTAAAGCCCCTGAGCTTCTCATGCATCTTGGCCTCCAAATCTCTCTCGCCAAATATCCTGGCCCTGAAGTACCATCATAATTCTGACACAAACAAGTGGGTTAATAGGCCATAAAAGCTGACTGGCACCATCACAAGGTGATCTGGGCTAAGTCCCCGTCTCGCCATCCCTCAGGTTTCCTTGAAATCTCTTTCCAAGTTTATTGAGTCACACTTGTAACAGAGCCTGCTACGCTGCCGAAAATCCAATTCGGCAGCGGTTTGCACGAGCAATTTACGCCCAGTCGTGGTTGGCTCAAATGGCATTTTGCAGATCGTAAAGTCCCTGCTACACAATAGAACCTTATTAATGAAGGCATTAGTTGCAACACATCCCTGGAGCCGGCAACATGAGGGGAGAAGTGGGATGTGGTGCAGGAGGATGGGGGAAGGAATGGAGAGAGGGTTTGATGAGTCATCCTACCCGTTTTGAGTGCTGGGGTCAAGGAGCATCGCGAGTATCCACACGCAGGGGACAAGAGCAGCGAGCTTGTTGGGAGTGCCAGCCATATCACTCCGAGCCCAGAAAGCCTGCAGAGTGAAGAGAGGAGGGTGAGAACAAGCAAATTAGTGAAGCGTTAGACGCCATTTCATGATTAATTGGCGACTGCTTTGTTGACAACCACCCTGCACGCTGCAAGCGACACATTAGCATTTGCGGAACACATGCTCTCAGCAGCCCTGCGAGAAGCAACGCCCTCCCACATGGAGAAAACTGGCACTAGCACTCAGGCCCAGGCGAATCAGCCCCATAGACACCATCCAAATGGATTTCCCTTTTACTCCACCACTTACGATGGAGACTGAACACATTGACGTACCACAGTGCCAGAGAGGGGGGCAACCAGTGAATCATATCTGTTTGTTAGAAATCGCTATGCAGTGCAGCAGTGGAGAGGATTTGATAAAGATGGCCACAGATTTTCAGACTGATACTGCACCACTCCTGCAGTCATATTCTTTTCCCTTTTACTTTTACAGTAGCCACATATGGATCTGGATCTACATCCGCTCACAGCAGACACGTCTCGCTGGGCCAGCTCAAAAGATTTTCTTTCCTGCAGGGCATATCGTAATAAACGGAAAGCAAAATTAATGTGAACATTATATGCACACTGTATTAAAGACCTCTGTTCCCTCTAGATCTATTGTGCAATAACAAGTGGACCAATTGCAAACAAGTACAAATCAAAAAGGCATTCCTGGCCCAGCTGCAGAAAAACTGTTTAGGCTGTATACATGAAGCAATTTTTAAGCAAAAGGCAAGCCGCTGGCAGTTGCTTTTGGAATGACCATATTTTTCTCCCACTAGTTTGTAAAGCTCTAGTTTGTAAAGTGCTCCTTGCAACAAATACCTGTGGTTATCTTTCAAATAATATACCTCATGGAATTAATATAAATTCAGTCAACAACTAAAAGGAAGAGGTCTGACTCTGCATGAATGAGGCAAACAAAAAGTAAGATATTGCCCACGCTAGCAGCCTACGTCTGCGTGCCTCTGTGGCTTAGCTTAATTTAAAAGGTGAAAAGACATTATGCTCCTTGGAGTCTGTGAGCTGTGCTGCAGCGGCTTGCTCTGTTTTCCAGTCTGCTACCAAACATACTGTGTGATTGTAGAGGCAGGAGAAGCATGGTAAATAAGTCCTTCATCTCTCCTATTGATCTGGGATTTTAATTTCTTCCCCTTAAGGGTTTGGCACCATTACAAATCATGTCCCATCCCCAGGACATAGCAAGCGCTTTGTGTACCATGAAGGTTAGGCTCACTGAAAAGATTATATATATTTCTCAAATGCACAACCCAGCCGAAGAGTCCCTCATCTCTCATCCAAGTTGTAGGTTTTCATGACTGTACATTAAAAGAGAAAACCAAATAACAAACAAATATTGCCATGGGCCTCCCATAAAATAGATTTACAATAAAATGCATGTGAAAGGTTTTATGGTCTCCTTCCACAGGAAGAACCTTTGTCTCCTTTTTGCCTATGCAGTGGCTCTGAGCATGAGTGAAAACAGCAATATTGAAGTGAGCTGGGGGCTCACCGCCAGGGCCTGTCAAACCATCAATCTGAAAGGTCAAAGACCTCAACTGACTTTATCTCTACAGCAGAGTGTGTCAATAATGTAGTGCTGCAGGGTGGGCTGTCCATCACTGTCCTGGACATACAGGCACTGAGAAGGAAGGAAGTCCAATGAGCGCCTAGCTAATTGAAGCCCATTAAATACACATGGCCCCAGGAGAAACGTCAGCATGGCGGAGATTTAATAATTGAAAAGCAGTTCATCTTAATGGCAAATTCTGACTGGTAATGTCCCTAAATGATAATCGACATTTATCTAAAACCTCTGATTACCCTACCTCTGGGAGAACAATCTCAGGATAAACAGTGATGTTTGTCATGATTATTATTTATTTAAAATCCCGTTCAGGAATTGTTGAAACAAGAACACACTGCCTTTGTTACTTGAAAGCCTCTATATGTGCAGTGCCAAAAACAAGCAGGGGTTTTTGATCGCACAGAGTTTTAAACCTCAATTAAAATTCAGTATCAAAAAAGCCAGCAACCCAAATTCAGATTAATCCCATTCCCATTCCAGAGAAAGGGCTTTCTTTTTAAGACTAAAAGAAAGGCAAATTAGAGTTGGAAATGAGTTTGTTTCCAACCTCGCCAATTCAGCAATATATTGTAAGTCATGCTATCTTGTGCAAGCCCACCACATCAGGCCAATCCGCAAAGCTTAATTTGGTCCCGATAGGTCTTCTAGCTGATCAGTGGACTGTGACACTAATTCAGCGTAGCAGCTGTGTCTTGGGAGAGCGCAGTGAAGAGATTTCTCTCTGAGATCTGGCATCAAACACTGAGTCTCTTTAAGGGATTCAATATCCTCAATTATAAGGAACCAACCAATGGAATCAATGATGAACCCACTGCAGAGAGGACACAGGGGTTTCAACTTAAAACTGTTCACATTAAAATAAGCGCAAAACACTTTGTGAATTATAGCTGCAAGACTGAATACATGTGTGCATCATTTTCTCTGTCCTATAAACATGAATGCACAAGCCAGAATACTCCAGTGAATCTTTAAATGACCTTTGCTTAATCACAGGATGTTCTTTTTATATTAATGATGCTACATTAAAACTAATTCTGGATCGTTAAGCATTAATGATTTTATGCGACGAGTAAAAGCTGTGGGATGTCTGCTGTTTCCATGCTTTATAATGGCTTGCTGAAAATTGCTATCTCCAACATCATACTATCCAAATGCACAGTTAGCTGTCCAGCTAGCGTGGAAGTCGTAATATGAAATCTCTCTTTTGCTAACAGCCCTGAAAGGCAGTTATGCATTAGATATAAGAGCAAGACAGTCATGAGTATAGCTTCCCTTGCAGACCAAATGAGTTGCGCCACAATTATGCAGAGTCTGTTCACTAGGGCACTAACTGTATAGATGAGTCATAAGAGCTTTATGTAACCTATGACATTATTGGCTGCACTAACCATTTTCTGAACCTCTAACTGTCATTACTGTGCAACTGTCAAGGCCAGAAGAAAGTAGCCCAGATGTGAAATAAGCAGCTCTTTATGTGCAAGTCTTAAATATCAACATGCAGTTACCATGGAATTCACAGCATGAAAAAACAGCACTTAAGAATCCAGTCAGGTCGCCCCTGACATCCTCCCTATAAAGGTCAAATTGCATCTAAGCTCAGGTGCAAACGGCACATTTAAAGACACATTTCATCATTTTTGCCCCTATTTTCTGATACTTTGGCAGTTTTTCCAGGGCACTGCATAAAGCAGAGGAGTATGCAGATGAAACATACATGATCTTCCAGTTGGCAAAATACATGTTGTGTGTAAAATCAGGTCTGCAGTTCATGCTATATTTCAGACACTATATGTTGACCATACCGATCTGCTTCTTCTTTAGCTAGTTAGTCTAATTGGGTTGTAACATGTAATGCTACCTTGAATCACTCCAAATGTAATTAAGATCAAACTAGAATCCTGAAATCAATTCAGTGAAAGAGGTTTTACACCAAGTCACAGCTTGCTCCTATTTGCAACTAAGTTAGTACATTATACTTTGCTACCATGAAACAGGGCCTTACCGTCAGTGTGTTGACTAGGATGTGTTGCTAAGGATACACTGTTATCGGCGTGACTGAGAAAGCTGGTGTTAGCTAGAACCAAAAACAAGTAAAAGACTTGTGTAGAAGATAATGATAATGACACCACCTTATATGATGCAAAAACCTACTGGTTTAACCCCCAGTGGTCAGAAGTTTTTTCTTGTTATTTTTTAAATAATATACCATGTTTTCAAATGTACTTCTCTGATTACAATTTTGTTCTTTGTGCTAATGACTTATTTACATTGCCAGCACCAGTTTGCCCTGTTTTTGCATTACGAGAAAAAAACCTATGATACATAAATATCAGCCGAAGCCCATTTTTCCTCCCCTGAAGTTGATGGAATATCCCTTTTTTAGTTATTATGTATACTGAAATATCAAAACTTGTCAGATATGCCAAACATAAGAACATTCTTTACAGCAGCTGACACACATAAGTCTGACTGTACTAGCAGGTAGCATTCGTAATCATAATGTACATCATTCAATTAGTCAATTCACTCAAGTAATATTTTACTTTTATCATATTTTATTTTCCACTCTTACTGAAGCATAGAAGTATTGAACTTTGTCCATCACTGGAGAAGAGAAGATTAAAAAGTAGAAACAGCCTGGCATTAAAACGGTTAACTCAGTTTTAGTTCTGAAAAGACACAATACAAGGGAAACGAAATAAACACTTTATACTCCAAGGACTGTTAAATATAGCATTTAGACAGAAACTTACAGTATTATAACTTTTCTACTGAGTTAAAGATATTGGGATGGAGGCTTAAACAAATAAAAGTACAAGTGACCTTCCAAAATTTTGAATAAAGATAGTTTTGATTTCGCTTAGCTTAGAGCAAAATTAAACACATATTAAAGGATTAATATTTAAGTGTCTAAATTTTGTTCTTTGTTAAACTGTAACTAAGAATGAACCCATATGAGAATTTTGTGCTGATACCAATATCCAATATCTTTCATGCATGCACCTGCCGATGTCCGCTACATATTTATAAAAGGTAGAAATTGTGAGTAAATCTACCTGTAAAAGAATTACTGAAAAATAAACATTTATTTGCCTTTACATTCTGCTCTTACAGAATACAAAAAATGGGTTGTCAAATTTCATTTTGAAATATCAATCAAATGTGTCCTATGCCAACAATTTCAATTTTCAAGCTAATTTCAGGCAATACAGATATGATCCCGATATTATCATACATTCCTCATTAAGACGGTTGGCTCATTAAGTAAGTCCGGTAAAACTACAGTATATCAGACTCCATAAAATAAACTGCTCTGAATATCTAGCTCGTTAGTTGCATTTGCAACACTAAATTCAGATTTCTTCATCCGTAACAAGGATGTATGGTGCAAAAGTAAAATAGTAATTCCTCAA